ATTACAGTGACAACTCATCTCTTATTGATATATGTGGGATTCTCAATTCAGAAAGTCATATGGCAACAGTGAATTCACTGATTTACCTTACAGCCAGCATGCCCTTATTTTGTGGGTATATGCAGATGGATTGTCAAGTCACGTGACTTGGTACACAATATTTCCTTTTCTCTATTTTTTCATTCTAGTGACAACTCATACCTTGTTCGTATATGTGGGATTGTCATGCAGAGGCATCTTTCTAAAGCCGTTCATAACTAACTATATAAACAACTAAAGGTAAAGACACAACCTTACAACTCATTTCGCCCTACGAAATTATCATTCATTTGTTTTAAAAAATTAGCATGGTTACATGGTTCATGGGAGGGAGTGGGAATCGCAGAGGTGGTAGGAACTTGCAAAGGGGTGACAGTTCACGACGAGGAGGGAGAAGACGAAGTGGCGATGCTGAAGATGAAACACCATTTCCTTTGTTAGATGCCTCTTGTGCTTATCATGATAGGTTTGGGAAGCGACATTTTGTCATGCCCAAGTACTATTGAGATCCATGTGGTTTGGTGGAGGATCCATCAGATAATCAAACAGGATATGGTTTAGCAAAAGCTAGACTTCTGAAGTGGCCCGCACTATTTATAGAGCGAGTGCAAATGGAAAGATTATGTCGGGAAAATCGACTGAAGGTGCCAAAAGCATGTTCTGTTGAGATCCAAAAGGAAGATCCTGATAATGTTGATCGACTATGTGAAAGACTACAACGTGAGATTTCTCAAATAGGCCGTAGGTTAGCCCGCGATATGTAGCTACACATAGTTAAGAAGGATGCCCAGAAGAATAGAACAGAACCAAATGTTGCGGCTATCAAGGGTATCATGAAGGATCCTGAACTTGTCTCTGACGCTGAGCTTTCGGATTATTCAGACTCTGAGCCACCTGCCGATTTAAGCGCGAATTAGGTGTTAATGTCTACACTTCGGCAATATTAGGTCATGCATTAATATGTAATGTCTGTGTTAGAGTAAGTGTTTCCGTAATGAGTTTGTTAGATTGTCTGGCTAATATTTGTCTGTCTAACTGTTATGTTTATCTATGTATTGTGTGTTCAGTTCATGGTGTCCACAATGTATTGTTGTCCGAGACTTATGTCTGTACTACCTATGTATTTTTGTGGGAGACTTACGTGTTTTTTCCTCAAGGTTTTATGAATTACATTATCACCTTCTAACCCAAAACAAAGACAACAGAAAAAAAAATTTATTTAAATGAAAACGGCTTTAGTAAAGCCAAAACAAATTTCTGAATAACACATTCTAACCCAAAACAAAGACAAGAGAAACAAATAAAAAATAAAAAAACTTTACATGAAAACGGCTTTAGAAAAGCGAAAAGAAATTTATGAATTACATTATCACCTTCTAACCCAAAACAAAGACAACAGGAAAAAAAAAATTATTTACATGAAAACGGCTTTAGTAAAGCCAAAACAAATTTCTGAATAACACATTCTAACTCAAAACAAAGACAAGAGAAAAAATTAAAAAATAAAAAACTTCACATGAAAATGGCTTTAGTAAAGCGAAAAGAAATTTATGAATTACCTTATCACCTTCTAACCCAAAACAAAGACAAAAGAAAAAATATATATATTTAAATGAAAACGGCTTTATTAAAGCCCAAACAAATTACTGAATAACACCTTCTAACCCAAAACAAAGAAAAAATAAAATAAAAAAAAATTTACATCAAAACGGCTTTATTAAAGCTCAAAAAATTTATGAATTATATTATTACCTTCTAACCCAAAACAAACACAAGAAAAAACAAAATAAATTTACTTTAGTCAAGCCAAAAAAAAATGCTGAATTACACATTCTAACCCAAAATAAAGACAAAAGAAAAGAAAAAAAAATTAACATGAGAACGGTTTTTGTAAAACAATTGTAACCCAAAAAATTATTCTGAAATACATTATCACCAAAACAATGAAAACAGAAACGAAAAAAAAAAACCAAAAAAAAAAAATTTACACTAAAAGCGTGGTTCATAATCACGATTTCAGAAGAAAAAAATTTTGGCCAAAAAAGCGTGGTTCGAAAGAGCGAGTTCAGAAGAAAAATGTTTTTTGATAAAATCGTGGTTAGGAAAAGCGAGTTCAAAAGAAAATTTTTTTTTGATAAAATCGTGGTTAGGAAAAGCGAGTTCAGAAGAAAAATATTTTTTGATAAAATCGTGGTTAGAAACAGTGAGTTTAGAAAAAAAAAAATTGGTTAAAATCGTGATTTGGAACAGTGAGTTTAGAAGAAAAAAAAATTAATTAAAAGCACGTTTTGCAACCGCGATTTCTTAATCAAAAGCGCGTTTTCTAACCACGATTTTAAGATTTCCCGTCTCCCACGTGAGAGAGGCGTATATGTGTTGAAATCGTGGTTCACAACCGCGATTTAGCCTATTTTGGGAATTCTTTCAAAACTAGGCTTAGTTTGGGAATTGACTTACTATTTTGGCTTATTTAGGGAAATGCCCCGTTGACCTGTGTGCCCACAGTGAAAGTGAATAAACCCCGTGCAGTTAAGGCCTCTTTTAGAAATAGACTTTTTTAGTAACTTTTTGGCTTTTTTGCTAAAATATGATATAAAAAAAACTAGTATATTTGGGATGACTTTTTAATTTTTTATGAAAAGATGTGCAAAAGTAGAGAGAAAATAGAATCTTTGACTTTTTGGTATAAGTTGTTGGCTTTTTTATTTTTTTAGTGACTTTTTGACTTTTTAGTTAAAATCACCATTTGCCGAATGAGGCTTAAGTGCCGATCCTTCCGGTTAATACGGGTAAAATGGCTTTAGTAGTGCTTGTATAGCTTACAAGCAGACACGTACCTAAAGATTTCCAGTGTTTTGTATCCACTATCCTTTTTTTTGTTATAAAAGAATTATTTTCATGAAGGGATTTCTAATTTGGCATTGCATTGTTTTGAGATAGAAAATGAGGAATGTTTGACAAATGGCATGCATGTGCTTTTACCTTAAAACTTTGTTAAAATTCATATATTATATTAGACTATCTCTACTGGGTTTTGGCTCACCTTATGTGGAAAACAACTTTCAGGTGCTAATGATATATGTCTACCAAGGACGTAGCTTGGAAGGACTTGGAGCCAAGGGCTTCATTTTGTTGACTTATTGTAATTAATTTTGTATAAACCTTGAGCTTTATTTGTATTAAGTTAAACTAATTTTGTTGTATCCAAGTATCGACTTGGAAAGATGTAGCCAATAAGGCATATAATTATTTGGTTTTACTTTTATTTTAAATCATGTATCCATGCCATATGCTACAGATTTAGGATCTGGGATTTATAAATATATATGCATATGTCATATTTTGTATTGATCAAAGTTATAAATGGAATAGAAGATATGATGTTGTTGATCAAGTGTAAGTAATGTTATGAGATGGATCATTGTTAATTATTTCGAGGCGTCACAGGCCAACAAGTGATGGGCACCTTAGCTTGTGAAATGGCAGGAGTGTTATAGGAATCCATGGATATTCTCAAAGCTAACAACCAAGTCTAGGCCCATGTTACAGAGACATGACCGTCTTTTTGAAGATTGAGTTCTTCTAGTCGAATCCAGATGAGCTTGTGGGTGATCCGAATGAGCCATTAAAGGCTGATGAGTGGCTTAACCAAATGGTGAAGATGTTCGAGATGCTTGACATTGAAGATGATGGCTTGAGGGTGACCTTGGTAGCCATTCAATTGAAAGGCGATACGGGTCAATGGTTGAAGTTTGCAAGGAGACGTATCGAGATGACTTGGAAGGCTTTTGTTAATGCCTTCCAGGATAAGTTTTTATCACCCACAGTGATGGAGAAATTAAGCGAGCAGTTTTTGAAGCGCAAGCAGTTGAGCACACTAGTGGCTGAGTTTGAGGCAGCCTTCATAAGCCTCTCTAGGTTTGCACCGAAACTCGTGGCGATAGAGGAACGCCATTGTATCGAGTTTAAGAAGAGATTGATGACTGAGCTCCTTTTCAAAGTGGTTGGGTCTATGATTCAGGACTATGGATGCCTTGTCGGATCGGCGGCCCATTTAGAGGTAGTGATTCAGGTGGTTGAGGAACAAATGAGAGGTTCTATGTAGAGAGAGCAAGAGTCTCAGGGGGATGTGAGGGACAATAAAATGTAGAAGGGTTCTACCCTACAACAGTCCCAGGCTTTGCAGTCTAGATCCACTTTTCCCATGTCGAGCTCTAGTTCTGGAAGAGGTAACCAGGGTGGATTCACTGCCTCAAGTGTGGTCAGATGGGCCCTCCAACTTGCCCATAAAGAGAAGGAGGGTAACAGTCTGCATCGTCTTCAATTTGTTCTCGAAGTCAAGGTTAAAAGAGAGGGCAGCCGCCTACGTGTTATTAGTGTAGGCAAACCAAGCATTTGATGAGGTTTTTTTCTTAGTCGGGTGGCAACTAGTTTGAGGTAGACACAAACCCATCAACTAGCTTAGTCTATTTAGGCCTCGAGGGCCAATCAGAGAGCCACTTTGGCTCAATCAATTCTTCAAGCCTATGATCCAAGGCATGAGCAAGTTAATCAGAGGTATCCAGGGTATGTGTATGCTGTGACCACGCCGAAGCAATTGCTGATACCTCTTGTTGTGAGAGGTAACTTTTTGCTATTAAATTCTTTAGGCAATGTATTGATTGATACTGGTGTATCTCATTATTTTATTTTGTCTTCTTTTGTATCCATTTTGAAAAATTTTAAAATTTGAAAAAAATGGATTAGTGCTATGGAGTTCCATCACTTGAGTGTGGTTTTCATTTATACTGTAATAGTATAGATATAAATTTATAATAATATGGATAGAATAGATATTTATTATTTTGAAAAATGCTAGACATTCACAATTTAGACTCTTAAATTTACTCACAATGATGTGATGATTAAGTATGTAACAAATTAAAATTGATAGTTATCATACCACATCATTTATAAATCAAATTAGAGAACCATTTTAATATTGATATAAATCATACCACATCAAACATTTTTCGTTATTTTGAGAGCATAGGTCATAAATTCAAGTTTAAGCGTATACAAGAAAAGTGCGCTTAAAAGATGGAACTTTTTGCGACGGCACAACTTACTGTCGTGAAAAATAGAGTATTTGCGACGACATAAATTGTTATCACAAAAAAAAATAGAGTATTTGCGACGGCAGAGATTGCTGTCGCAAAAAATAGAGTTTTTACAACGGCACCAGCTGCAGTCACAAAAAAAATGAGTTTTTTTGTGACTGTAAAAGGTACCGTTGCAAGAAAAGAAAAAAAAAGGTAAATATATATATATATTGTGGCTTTGAGACGACTTCATATATATAGTCACAAAATGGTTTAAATAAATGCAACGATATTTTTTTGTCACAAAAAAAAAATTAAAAAAAACGACGTCGTCTTACTCTTTTGATATAACATTTCTCTTTTCACCTATTTTTTCAGCTTCCTGTCTCTCTTTCTCTATCTTTGTCTCTGTCTCTCTTCTCTTTCTCTCTCTTACTCATCACTCTTCTATGTCTGTCTATCTCTCTCTTTCTCTCTGTGTCTCTGTCTTTGTCTCTCTTCTCTTTCTCTCTCTCACTCATCATTCTTCTATGTCTGTCTATCTGTCTCTTTCTCCATGTGTCTCTATTTCTCTTCTCTTTCTCTCTTTCACTCATCGCTCTTCTCTGTCTGTCTGTCTCTTTTTCTCTGTGTCTCTCGCCCATCTCTCTCTGTCTCTCTTTCGTTTATCTCTTTTTGCTCTCTCTCTCTCTCTTCTCTTTCTCTCTCTCACTCATCACTCTTTTATGTCTGTCCGTCTCTCTTTCTTTCTCTATGTGTCTCTCGCTTATCTCTCTCTTCTCTCTTTTTCTCTCTCTCTCTCTCTCTCTCTCTCTTGCTCATCTCTCTTCTCTCTATGTCTCTCTCTTTTTCTATGTCTCTCTCTCATTCATCTCTTTTCGCTCTCTTTCTCTCTCATTAATCTCTTTTCGCTCTTTTTGTCTATCTCTCGCTCATTTTTTGTTTCTCTCTTTTTTTTTGTCTCTCTCTTTCTCTTTCACTCATCAATATTCTCTCTCTCTCTCTCTGCCTATCTGATTGTCTATCACTTTCTCTCTCCCCCTGTGATACCCCTGTTTTGTATTATGCTAAATTGGTCCTTAATTTGTTTATGGTTATGTGTTTAGTGGGATTTTGTGTGCCATTATGTGATAATATGTGATTTTGAATTCGTATATGTTCACCGTAGGATTATCTGTTTGGAATAATCCGCTTCGGGAATTAAATTGAGGGCCTTATCAGCCATAGAACCCGAAATTGTTTACGCCACTGTGATTGGCATAATTTTTAGAGCCTACGGTGAAATTTAATTGAAAATTGATCCTAGTCAATTTAAACGGATTAAATTGATAAATTAAGTGCCCAATTGTTATATAATAAAATAATGTGTTGAGTGGGGCTAAATAAGGGCCTCATTATGATCAATTCCTCACCCTTATATCATTTTGGCTGAAGTTTAACTCTCTAGAAAAGAGAGAGAGACGACTTTGAGAGAGAGGGGAGGCACCTTTGGGCATTTTGATTCAAAATTGTGAATTGGGAAGGCTAGGTGCAAGACTTGGCCATAATTGTGAAGATTGAGCCTCTAGGTAAGCATTGATTCTTGAATTCATGAGTTTAATGTGTAATCTTGTGTGTTCAAGGGTTGTTTGTGATCAAGAGCATGTAATGAGTTGATTTTGTTGAGTTTGAAGTCTTAGAACTCATGCATGTAAGGAATTACTTTGAAATTGCATGTTTGAGCTTGAAACACATGATTCATGTAGAGTTTTGGTTAAAGCTCATGTGGTAATCACCATTTGTACCATTTAAGTTGAGAATGATGAGCACCTCCCACATGCATGCACAAATCATGGGAGTATAAGTCTTGAATGTTTGAATTTGAGCATGTTGGTGATGGGTTTGAGATATTTTGAGACATGCATGTAGATAAATTATGAAATTGAGCTTTAATATGTTGTAATTCTATGTTTGTACCATGTTAGTACATGATTATGTGAAGTTTGGACCGAAATCATGCCTTTAGAGCTTTTGAATGTCGAGATGAAGCTCAAGAACTCAATCTGAAAAACCCAGATTTTCGATGTCCGCTCGAGCGGGTGAAGTGCCGCTCGAGCGGAGAAAACGAGCTCCCAGCATTTTCTGCAGACATGGTTCCCGCTCGAGCGGGGAAGTTGACGCTCGAGCGGGGACCCTGTTTTCTGGAATTTTGTCCATGCGTTCTGTGTTTCGCTTTCCGTTCTCTTTCACTTGTAAGCACTCTTAGGCGTATGTTAAGCATTGTAAATGAGTTAAAGAGATAATAATAAAGCCTAAAGAGGAATATGTGAATTAAAGAACGGATTGAACTATTAATGACCCTTTTGTGTTCATGAAATGTGTAAGGTCAAGCTCCAGGGCAAATCCACAAGCCGATCACTGTGAGTAATATCAATATTTGAAAGCTTGTCAATGTCCAATTGTTATTCCCTTATAAACTTTATGAGTTGTTAATTGGGATTGTGGACAAAAGTCTGACAGGAGTACTTGAATGGACCAAAGGTCGTTTTGATAAACTTGAATGGACCAAAGGTCGTTTTGATAAACTTGAATGGACCAAAGGTCGTTTTGATAAACTTGAATGGACCAAAGGTCGTTTTGATAAACTTGAATGGACCAAAGGTCGTTTTGATAAACTTGAATGGACCAAAGGTCGTTTTGATAAACTTGAATGGACCAAAGGTCGTTTTGATAAACTTGAATGGACCAAAGGTCGTTTTGATAAACTTGAATGGACCAAAGGTCGTTTTGATAAACTTGAATGGACCAAAGGTCGTTTTGATAAACTTGAATGGACCAAAGGTCGTTTTGATAAACTTGAATGGACCAAAGGTCGTTTTGATAAACTTGAATGGACCAAAGGTCGTTTTGATAAACTTGAATGGACCAAAGGTCGTTTTGATATAAATGAATGGACCGAAGGTCGTTTTGATGTAAATGAATGGACCAAAGGTCGTTTTGATATAATTGAATGGACCGAAGGTCGTTTTGATGTAAATGAATGGACCAAAGGTCGTTTTGATATAAATGAAGGGACCGAAGGTCGTTTCGATGTAAACGAATGGACCAAAGGTCGTTTTGACATATGTGAGTGGGCCGAAGGCCGTTTTGACATGAATGGAAATCTGAATGGGCCAAAGGCCAGAATGTTTGGAACTACAGTCACTTGATTTGAATTTCGTATGGTTATATATCTGTTAAATAGAAATAGGAATTGGGCCTAAGGCAGTTTGGAACACGTTGTTCTACATTGTTATGTAACTCTTGTATTTGATTTGATATTATTCACTGGGCTTTCGCTCACGCTCATTCATGTGTTTGTAGGTGAGCCAAGAGAAGTCCAGACCCAGCCTCAGAGAAGTCTGTATGGAGCCACTAAGGTTTTGAGAGAGTCAGCCCTTGTGTCTCACGCATGAGACCCGCCTTCGCCTTTTGTTGTGTATTTGTATTTTGTCAGGTTGGCGAAGTTTTGTATATGTCTACTTATGGTTTTATGGGTTGACTTAGTTTTGGATGATCCTGTCTGTACAGAACTTATGTCGCTATGTTTCTGTTGTGAGTTATTAACGGACATATGTATGGTTTGTTTTGATGTGCCATGTAAGCACAGCTCTATGGACAAAGCTTTTAAATTTTGCTTCCCTTTTGGCCCCTTTACTCCGATGTGTTAAGTCTGTTTTGGTTTGAGGTCGTAGGTAATCTTAGGATTACTGGCCGGTTACGTCCTTAACCCATGGGGGCGAGTTCGGGTCGTAACACCCCCACTGTGTTCGCCTTGCTCATTTTCTCCCTTTTCTCTTCTCTATTTACCGAGCTTCCTCTCGATTTATCAATCCACTACAAGAAAATGCACTTTTAGCGACCACTGTCTTTCTCTCTCTCATCACTCTGTCTCTCTCTATCTCTCTTCTCTATCTATCTCTTACTCATCTCTCTCTCTCTTACTACCCATCTCTTCTACCACCTTCACCGCTACTGCAAATGTCACTCCACTACCACTACTGTTGCCACTCTACCTTTATGACTACCATTATTACCACCACCACTACCACTACCACTACCACTACCACTACTGCCACTACTACTACTATTACCTCTCCTCTACCATCGCCACTCCATCATCTCTACCACTACCACAACTTCACCACTAATCTCCTTCGCCATCACCACTACCATCACCTCTTATCCACCACATTCACCACTATTGCCGCTCCCTCTGAAACTTGATTCAAATATATTTTTTAAAGACTAAAAATTAGTTTCATGAAAAAATTTAAAAAATCCAAACTACTATACTTGTCAATTTTATATAATTTTACGAAGGATATGATCAGCTTGTTTGGTTTATTTTTCATAATTTATTTTTCAAGAAATTGAAATTTTTTATTATGTGTGTGTTTTTTTTATTTTTATTTTTTATGTTTTCACAATTTTTTTTAATAGTCTAAGCATTTTTTTTAATTTTTAAATACACCACACATATATACACTTTAAAAATATAATATTTGTGATTAAATCGTATTATTGTGCATTTATTGATTGTTTTAAAAAAAATTGGACAACTATTTTACTTTTTAGATACATCTAAGTAATGTGCATCTAAAAATATAAAAAATAAAAATTACTTAAAATTTTAAAAATTCACTAAAAATAAAAAATATATGAAAAATAAAAAACTTAATTTTCAGAAAATTAAATCAAAAAAATCAAAATCAAACAATTTTAAAAAATTCAAAAATACATTTTTTAAACGAAAATCAACCAAGCATGATCTTTTGCGACGACATTTGAAGCCGTCTCAAATAGTGCTGAAATATTTCATCTCCCTCCTTCAGCCCAAATGGCGCTCGATCAAAACCCCCAAAATATTTTTATCCCCAAAATCCCTAACACCATTCTTCCTCAAAACCCCCAAAATCCCTAACACCATTCTCCCTCAATTCCTAATCACAAAGTTGAGTTCGAGTTCGTGTATCACAATCACAAAGACGAGTTTGAGTTCATGTATCACAATCACAGAGACGAGTTCGAGTTCGTGTATCACAATCACAATCACAGGGAGTTCGTGTGACGGGTAGGTTCTTGACGAGTGACGACGGCGAGTGTTCACCTACGATCTCTCTCTCGATGAGCGACGATGGCTAGCGATGGTGCGGCAACAGTGTATTACGATCTCTCTCTCTCGCGCAAGCTCAGCCAGTATGCTCTCTCTCTTTCTCTCTCTCACACACACATACACACACACACACAGATATATATATATATATATATGTTATCGTGTATGATATAACAAATCCTGATTCGTTCAATAAAGCACAGTATTGGGTTAAGGTATGATTTGCACATATTGGAAGATGATTTTCTCTATTTCAGTTTTGGTTTATTAGTTGTAGGATATAGTTAAATGCATTCTAATTTTCTTCAATCAGGATTTAATGTGGAAAGGGCTTGTTTAAGACAATATCTTGTTTTGTGAGACTACAGTGGAAACTCAATATTGTTGTTAAAGTAAAGCATTAGATTTGGTATTGTCAAGATTATTATGTAAAATTTGGAGGTATAGGATTTAGAAGCGCAAAACTGATTGAAAATTTTGGATGTTAAAAGTTTGTTGAGAGATGAAAATCAAAAGGATTTGACATATCAAATTTTTTTTTTTTTGGCACCGGATGGATCTTAACGAAACATGTTTCATTGATTAACTATGGAAAACTGACAATGACACTATAGAAATGCTAGCTAGTTTTAAGATGAATAAGTGGTTTTCCATTGCTAATGAATTGCGATCTTGGATTGGCTAAAGCTCCCTCTTGAAATAGAGTTCGCGAGAACTGCAAAGTAGTGGTATTTGTGGTCATTTTAATACTTGTCTCCTCCAACCTTGACTCACGTCGAAAATAGTTGTCTAGGAATATAGAGGACATTCTACAGTAAATTTGCAACAACCCTCATTTTAACTTAGTCATACTTGCATACATTTATGGATGATCTTGTTTTAATATGTGCATTTGCAAATCTTGTCATGTTTTGCTTGAATGATTGTTTGCATGCTTTGTTCTTGTCTGGTGTGTTGCCGAGGTCATCTTAAGCCTAGACACCTTCGGGACCTTTATCACTTAGAACTATCTTGGAACCCCTTTGGTTGACCTCCACCTTCACCCTGGCATATTGGCCGAGATGTCACTATCTAGGCCGAGGTGCGCTCGCCTAGGCCGAGATGTGCATCATCTGGGTCGAGATGTTAATATCTAGGCGTTCTAGATCCTTGATCCTTGCATGAGTGATTTTGTTCCTGGAACGGTATGACCTAGACCGAGGTGCGGCACATCTAGGCCAAGGTGCGGCACAGCTTAGTCGAGAGTTGTCTTTCCAAGCCGATGTCATTGTTACCCCACTTGCCGAAGCTTTACCCTTAGCCGAGATCATCACTTGCCGGAGTCCTCTTGCTGTTTAGCTTGCTGAATACACTTTGTCTTGGTCCTGTCTTGTCATGTCAGTCACCTTTTTGGATAGAGCCAATCGGCCGATGCCACGTGTCCCGGCAGAGGGATTAAGTCAGTGATTGTCGTGAGAAGCATATCATTTGTATCAAGTCTTGCCTTTTAGAGAGAGAAACTCTAGGAAGAAGGAGGAGAAGCTTAAGCTAGAGAGAGTGAACTTCCAAGCTTGATCGTTGGAGCTTGAACCGTTAGATTCGAGTTTTGAGGTTAGAATCGTAACCTATTCTTGTTGTTCTTATTGATCATCTAGCTGCATTGCACGATCAAACCTGTTCCGCACGCCATACATAGATTTAAAGTTGGTTTTAGAAAGAGAAAATGGTTTTCATGTATTTTTGAAGAAAAAGCCTCGTTTGATCCGAAAGTTTGCATTAAGGCTCATGTCTTTGTGTTTGTTTTGATAAGATCTTTGAGTATAGGTACCCAGGTCTATGTTTTTGAAATTATAGCATGAAATCTCAACTTTGTAATAGCAAGTTTTGATCTTTACATTCATCTTCCTCATGTTCATGTTCTTCATGTTTATCAAGAGGGAAACCCAGATTTTTCCAACTTCGCTTTTGAATGTGGCCATCGAGGCCACACCTCAGCAAGGAGGTGTGGGACTTTGGCCTAGACCTGGTGGTTGCCCAGCTTGTTTTTCCAAAGATAAGAAACTGTGTTTTGACTTGGTTTGACTTAGTTTTTGAAGAATGCCGAGGTCATTTGCATGCGTGCTAGACTTGTTTTGAGTAGTGCATTCAATAGACTTTGCCATGTGTTTGTAGGACTGGGACTTGCCTCGACCCCGACGTTTGACGAACTAGGTGAGTGGTATTTTTAATAAAGCTATGTTATACGTTTTGATAAAGACTTTGCTTTGCTTTGTTTTGAAAGTGTTTGTTAAGCATGAATAATTGTCCCTGTTTTGTATATCAAGTATGATCTTGTCTTGATGACCTTCTCGGAAAGTCCCTTGTGCTGGAGGACTCTAAACTTTCGCAGCACATCTCGTTTGAAAGTCCCTTGTGCTGGAGGACTCTAAACTTTCGCAACACATCTCGTCTGAAAGTTCCTTGTGCTGGAGGACTCTAAACTTTCGCAGCACATCTCGTTTGAAAGTCCCTTGTGCTGAAGGACTCTAAACTTTCGCAGCACATCTCGTTTTGAAAGTCCCTTGTGCCGGAGGACTCTAAACTTTCGCAGCACTCTCGTGTTAAAAGGCTACGGGCCTTTGTAACATAGGTCCCTTGTGCTAGAGGACTCTAAACTTTTGTAGCACCCTTGTTTGAGACGCCTCTCTTGCTTTGTCTTGTTTTGCCACGGACGGTTTACCGCGTGGATATGTTTGCCGGAATGTTATTATTTGTAATATGTGATACTAGTAAGTATCCCTTGAAGCTTTGAAGATTTGTTAGGTGGACGAGGTCCATTCCTTGTTACATATAAAGTTTTGTCTTGTATTGTTTTGAAAGGATTTCGGCTATTATTCATGCAAACCCCTTTATTATTTATACCATTCACTGAGTATCCAGGCTCACCCTCTCTATATATATGTAGGTGATGAACAAGAAGGCGGTGACGCCTAGATGTGATTCTGGAGCTTATTTTGGATTTTTGATTATGTCGGCTTAACCTGTATTTATGTCGGCAGTCTTGAAAATTATGCTTCTCGATTTGTAATACTTGTATGTTGCATACGTTGGCTTGAGAAGCCTTTTGATCAAGATGTGTGTTTTGTATGATTGTTATGTCGGCAAAGAAGATGTCGGCAACCTGGCAGACTGTGTTCTTAGACCTATAATTCGTACATTTTGTTTATGTCGGCTGTGGAGCCCTTTGCTAATATGTAAGATGTAATTTGTACTTTGCTTTGTTTGTAATTAAGTTATAACCCATATGTAGATGGTTGCTATTTCATTTGACTTATGCACAGCTCTTATGGACTAATTTGATTTTATGTATCGCTTCCGTACTTGTGAGCCCTATATATTTATACTCTGTTGTGTGTCAATTTTGAAAGTTGGCCTTTGGTAATCTCGGATTACTGGCCATCATGGCACCAAACTACTAGGGACGGTTTGGGGTCGTGACAAAATTATTGCAAAAAATTTAAAACAAGGATTGTCTTCTCATCTCCTTACAAGTTGAAAGTCTACTAAAGATAGAAAGAGATTCAATTTCAAGAGTAACACGCTAAAAATCTAGCTATTTATGTTTTGAAACGCATGTAAGTAGGCTTTCCTGTTGAATAGTTTGTTTAAAAAAATTTAGAAAAGCTTGAGCATTGTGTATTCATCATTTATATTGTTGGGTCTTCATCTTTACACTCTTGTTCTTTTCTCATCTTTGTTTCCTCCCTCTTGTGATTTAATGTGCCTTGACCACCCAAAAATCAAGTTGTATGATCCACAAATGTTTTCTTAATTTTTTATAAATTGCTGACTATGCTATTGTATGTATTCATTACTATTGATTTATTGTGGCTTGCTACAGGAACTACAAAAACATGGAAACCCTGATATAGTCATGGCTTTAGTTGGTAGCAAAGTCGATCTTCAAGAGCAACAAGAAGTACTAGTTCAAGTGAGTGGCAAACTTGAGTACTGGACGTTACTTACATCAACTTTTCCTTTGTATTTACAAATCAAGATTTAGTTTGCTAACTTGACACATTCATTTATTTATATCTTTTCCCCTGAAGGATGGCATTGACTTTGCTGAGAAGAATGGAATGTTTTTTATTGAGACATCTGCAAAGACAGCTGATAATATAAATCAGCTGTTTGAGGTATGTTCAGAACACAAAATATTTGATTTTTTGCCGATCAATTAATGAAAGGAAAACCACTGCCTCTCTATGCAAGGCTACCCATATCTATAATTAGAAGGTAAACATACCATTGTATTTGACCATGTATATCATTTATTATCATTTATAGTTTTGAAAAAAATAAAAAATAAAAATAAATATTGATTTGAACAACATATTTTAGTAAACTTCAAAAATAAAAAAAAACTTATTGGCACGAAACTTGGCACACACGACCGCCTAGGCACGCGAAACTTGAGGGAATTGACGGGACTCTAACCGGGTTCCTGATTTGGGAGTTAGAGCCGAATTTTTTCTAGGCAAACTAGTTCTTTAAGAAACTTGAATTCGAGGTGTTAACGCCCCAAAATCACCAAATGGGGTCGGATTGGCACGAAACTTGGCACACACGACCGCCTAGGCACGAGAGACTTATGGGAGAAGACAGGACTCGAATCGGCTTCCCAGTTTGGGAGTTAGAGCCGGATTTCACTCTAGGCAAACTAGTTCCTTAAGAAACATGAATTCGAGGTGTTGACGTCCCAAAATCACCAAACGGCGTCGGTTTAGCACGAAACTTGGCACACACGACCGCCTAGGCACGAGAGACTTATGGGAGAAGACAGGACTCGAATCGGCTTCCCAGTTTGGGAGTTAGAGCCGGATTTCACTCTAGGCAAACTAGTTCCTTAATAAACTTGAATTTGAGGTGTTGACGCCCCAAAATCACCAAATGGCGTCGGTTTAGCACGAAACTTGGCACACATGACCGCCTAGGCACGAGAGACTTGTGGGAGAAGACGGGACTCCAATCGGGTTCCCGGTTTGGGAGTTAGAACCGGATTTCACTCTAGGCAAACTAGTTCCTTAAGAAACTTGAATTCGAGATGTTGACGCCCCAAAATCACCAAACGGGGTCAGATTAGCACGAAACTTGGTACACACGACCGCCTAGGCACAAGAGACTTGTGGGAGGAGACGGGGCTCGAATTGGCTTCCCGGTTTGGGAGTTAGAGTCGGATTTCAATCTAGGTAAACTAGTTCCTTAAGAAATTTGAATTCGAGGTGTTGACGCCCCAAAATCACCAAACGGCATTGGTTCAACACAAAACTTGGCACACACGACTGCCTAGACACAAGAGACTTATGGGAGAAGACGGGACTCCAATCGAGTTCCCGGTTTGGGAGTTGGAGCCAGATTTTACTCTTGGCAAACTAGTTCCTTAAGAAACTTGAATTCGAGGCGTTGACGCCCTAGAATCACCAAATGACGTCGGTTTAGCACAAAACTTGGCACACACAACCGCCTAGGCACAAGAGACTTGTGGGAGAAGACGGGACTCCAATCAGGTTCTTGATTTGGGAGTTAGAGCCGGATTTCGGTTTAGGCAAACTAGTTTATTAAGAAATTTGAATTGGAGGTGTTGACGCCCCAAAATTTCCAAACGGTGTTGGATTAGCACGAAACTTGGCACACACAACCGCCTAGGCACGAGAGACTTGTGGGAGAAGACGGGACTCCAATCGGGTTCCCAGTTTGGGAGTTAGAGCCGGATTTCACTCTAGATAAATTAGTTCCTTAAGAAACTTGAATTCGAAGTGTTGACGCCCCAAAATCACCAAACGGCGTCGATTTAGCATGAAACTTGGCATACACGACCGCCTAGGCACGAGAGACTTGTACGAGAAGACGGGACTCCAATCGGGTTCCGGGTTTGGGAGTTAGAGCCGGATTTCACTCTAGGCAAATTAGTTCATTAAGAAATTTGAATTGGAGGTGTTGATGCCTCAAAATCTCCAAATGGCGTTGAATTAGCATGAAACTTGGCACACACGACCGTCTAGGCATGAGAGACTTGTGGAAGAAGACAGGACTCCAATCGGTTTCCCGATTTGGGAGTTAAAGCTGGATTTCACTCTAGGCCAACTAGTTCCTTAAGAAACTTGAATTCGAGGTGTTGACGCCCCAAAATCTCAGGCAAACTAGTTCTTTAAGAAACTTGAATTCGAGGTGTTGACACCCCAAAATCTCCAAATGGCGTCGGATTAGCACGAAACTTGACACACGCGACCGCCTAGGCACGAGAGACTTATGGGAGAAGACGGGACTCCAATCAGGTTTCCGGTTTGAGTGTTAGAGTCAGATTTCATTATAGGCAAACTAGTTCCTTAAGAAACTTGAATTCGAGCTGTTGACATCCCAAAATCACCAAACAACGTCGGTTTAGCACGGAACTTGGCACACACAACCACCTAGGCATAAGAGACTTGTAGGAGAAGACGGGACTCCAATCGGGTTCCCGATTTGGGAGTTTAAGCCGAATTTCCGTCTAGCCAAAATTATTTACTTAATTATATTTGTAATTATATAGTAGTTAATTTTTTTATGTTTTTTTGTAATTAAAATATTAACACATAATTATATTGTCATTATTTATTTTTATTTTTTGTTTTCAGATATTTTCCGAGTAACAGTTTGCTTCTTGTGGAATGCAGGCGTGTGAAGATTGCGATTAACTTTTGTTTTTGTTACCCACAGAAGAATCATGAGGGAAACTTTTGTTTTTCATTTACGTTATTTTGAATTGTGAAAAACATTGTATATGTATTATGCAATATTATGTAGTGGGATAATTTTGCTAATGTGTTGTAATGAATGCAAGAATATTTTTATTATGGATGAATTGTTATTTTTATACTGAAGTTTTTATATTATTTTGAAATTATTGATTTCTTTTTCAGTTATTTTTCATTTAATACGGGTAATTTTCGTATTTTTAATAATTTTATTGCAGTTTTTTTTTTTTTAGATGGCACCACATTGCCATCGCAAATGATATTGGCAAAGTTATGAAAAAAATCTTTTGCGACGATATTCTTTGTCGTCGCAAATAATCTTTTAGCGACGACATGTCGTGCTGTCTCAAATAATTTTTTAGCGACGGCAGGTACCCTGTCGCAATAAAAATACTTTTGCGACGGCATTTTTTGTCATAGCAAATAACACTTTTAGCGACGGCAACACAGTGCCGTCTCAAAAAATCTTAGATTTTTTACATATTATTGGTGACGGCAGAATTCCGTCGCAAAAAGGCAACTTTACCGTCACAAAAAAAAGCGACGGCATTGTGCCGTCGCTAAAACTTTTTAGCAACGCCCTTTATTGCGACCCCCCACTTTCCGTCGCTAAGTCATCTACCGTCGCGAAAAAGCTTTGGAGACGGCATTTTGAGTATTTGCGAAGGCATTTTTCCGTCACAAAAAATCAAAATTTTTGTAGTTTTGCTTGTTAATACCGAAGAGGGGGTGTTGTTGTGATAGTTACTGTTGTGCTCGTTGGGGGATGTTTTTTCGAGTGTTTTTTGATGATCTGAACCGTTCAGATTGTAAGGTTCATTGAGTAGATCATCCATACCAAAAATCAAGTTGATTGGATATTTGTAACCCTATAACCAAAGCACATTTGTTTCTATAAAAATTAACGGTTAACATAGCTTTCCTAAATTTTTAAAAACAATTGGGATCTAATCATGGGGTTATGAATAACCGATTAATTTGACTTTTTTCATGAATAATATTATTGACGAACCTTACGACATGAACGGTTCAGATTATCGAAAAACATTCAAGAAGATCTCCATTGAAAGGGCAGCAGTAACTATTGTACTTTAAGGTACAACCGCCCTTATCCTGTTATTACACACATGGAGCTTCCCCCTTATCCTGTTAATACACACATGGAGCTTCTTTTAAGTCAACTCTCATTCTTGTTGCTAGCTCTATACAGCACTAGGCCTCTCCAATGTCATCGTCGACACATTTAGAGTTATTTTTTTGCTTTACGCCATTACGTTATTAAGAAAGATACCACCATCCCATCCTTCACCTCTTTATAAATTTTGATTTTTTGCTTTCTTTCCACTAATAATACCTATTCTCAAAAAATAAAATAAAATAAAATTTAAAAGAAAAAAATCCTTTTCGGCCGACGGGCCACTACCTACGTTCAAGTTTTATCCTAACCTATCTCAAACTCGGATTAAGGACTAGGGTGTTTTAAATATAAGAAAATCATTCTAAATAATCTCAATCTTTCTATCACCTCTCTCATTACTTCATTTTGAGCATGTATTTGACATAAAAATAAGAATAAATTACACTTGCCCTCGTGAGATTTAAAAAATATATATATAGTTGGTCTCCCTTGGGATATAATTATATTAACCTCTCTCAAAATTTTAATTTAAATAATATTTAAGTCATTTTTTATCAATAATTTATTAGTTATATAAATGAAAAAATGTTATTATCATATTTTTTTTTTACTAAAATCATCTTTATTTATTTGAGTCTCTACCCACCATTGGTATTAGTTTTGATCGTTTTAATCATACTAAAAAGGAGGTTAGTGTAATTAATAAAAATAAAATAAAAAATGAGACAAACTGTATTTTCTCCAAATTAAAAAAAAAAACGAGTATAACTTATCCTAAAAATAATTATTAAGTCAATTGAGTAATAGATTATGTTCATTTGACTTAAAAATTTAACAAATTTCATAAATATGCTTAAATTGTAACTTGTTTAATTTGCTTTAATCAAATCGAACTGAAATGATGATTTTTTTTCATAGTACATGTAATCAAATAATAAATCAATCAAGTTTAGTTTAAAATTTGACTAGTTTGATATTGATGTCAAATGCATTTTAACGAAACAAGTATACCACTATAAAAGATATTAAACTCATCTTTATAAGAGTTAAATTGGAGACCTCACATCGTAGAAGATACTACACAACCATTAAGTCAAATAATATTGAGTAATTTTATTTACACACTACAAAAGCTCTCAATACACATTATTTGTATTATTTGAATATCATTTCCAAAACCACCATTTGACAAACGAAACTAAGGACTGGTTTGACATGTTTAAAAAAAGTTAAAAAGTCAAAAAGTCACTATCTTATTTAAGTCACATCACCTTTCTAACACATCACTTCAAACCCAACCCATATTTTATAAAAATTCAAAAAGCGCACTTATTTAGAACATCCCAAACAAGCCCTAAATTGTTCCAACATAAATATTGTTGGTTGATATCTAAAAATTGATGTTTGAACATTTAATTTTGGAAATAAGTAAAAAGCTAAAAAATTGCAACAAATTATGAAGTCATTCTCTATATTTTTTATAAGGGTTCTGTTTAAGTGTGCAACCCCCTTAAGGTTGGACACCATATGCAACCCAATTGTTAGCCGTTAGATTACAATAATTGATCAAGACCATTGAATTGTTTAATTGTGAAAAAGTTGAAACCGGGGCAACCGGTTAATGCTTGTATTTGCATGATTGCATCCCACTCACTCTCTGTATTTCGTCCATATCTCTCTCTGTTCTCCTCTCTGTGTAAGGTTGGGTCAGTGTAACTATTGATTTCCATTAACAGCGAGAAGCCCCTGCCGGGTTCGTTCCATTGACGAAGCCCTGTAGGGAACAGTATAATGGGCGATTTCCAACAACAACGTAACTACAAGCCTGTGTTGGTTCCATTGCTGAAGTAAAGCCCTTCTCTCCAACTATATATAAGGTATGGAGTTGTCTCCCTCTCTCTATCTCCCTCTCTGTCTCTCTGGCCTCTTCACTTTAGCTATTTTCCGTCAACTAAACCCCCATCCTAACTTCAACCGCTCTACGCTTCACTCAAACGGAAACCCCTCCATTGGCAACTAACCTGTCTCTTTCTCAAGCGAGTGTTTGTGTTTGCACAAACAACTAAACCGTGTGAAAATGTCATGTTTGTGTTTGTGTTAACATTTTTCGGTTATCAAGTAATTGTTTGTACTAATGTCATGTGCAATATGGCCCAAGCAGAAGTTAAAAAGGAAGGTGATGATTATAACATTCCAAATGAAGCAGATGACATTCGTTTGATGAATGAAAGTCGGGTGGAACCTTATCATGGTTGCAAAACTGGTCTGAGCAATGAAGAAGCAACCAACATGAATGTTGAAGATGGCGGAGCCGATGTGAAAAAAGAAATGGTTGACGATGCTCATGGCAATGACATGGTTGGTGATGTTGAACGTGCTATTCTGGAACAGAAATTTGATTCAGTCGAAGATAGAGAAGCTTTCTACAATGCGTATGCTAAAGCCAAGGGATTTAGTATACGAAAATCCAGATTTAACACAAATAAAGAGGGAAAGGTCGTTAGTAGGTTGTGGTTGTGTTCAAGGGAAGGTCAGAGATTACCAATATACTTGGACCGTGTAGCTGAGAAAAGTAGAGCTCCCAAGGCACTAACAAGAGTAGGTTACAAAGCCCAATTTCGCATACTGTACGATGCAGATGCTGGTGAAGGGGGAAAGTATGTTGTGACTCACTTCGTCGCAGACCACAACCATGAATTGGTGGAACAACACTGTGTGATGTATCTGAGGTCACATCGCAGTTTAAACAGCGCTGACAAAGCTCAAGCAATGGCTATGCGCAACGTCGGTGTGAAGACTAGCTAAATCATGGACTATATGGTAAATCAATCCAGGTCTTATGAGAATGTTGGTTTCGTCCGTACGGATCTGCACAACCATATTCAAGCCGAACGTAGAGCAGAAGTTGAGGATGGTGATGCGCAGGGTGTGTTGGTTTACTTATGTGCAAAACTTGATGTTGATGCACGTTTTTTTTACAAGTATGATGTGTGTAACGATAACAAGTTACAAAATCTGTTCTGGGCAGATTCGAAATCGCGGGCCGACTACGCAAAGTTTGGTGATGTGTTGATATTTGACTCAACTTACAGAACCAATGCATACAAGAAGCCTTTTGTCATGTTGGCTGGTGTGACTAGCCACTTTAGGACCACGATATTTGCATGTGTTTTGCTAGCTAATGAGACAATTGAGACATACACATGGGTTTTGGAAATATTTATGGATGCGATGGGCAATAAAGCACCTGTGTCTGTACTGACAGATGGGGATAAGGCGATGCGAGAGGCAATCAGAAGAGTATTTCTAGACGCAAGACATCGATTATGTAATTGGCATCTTGGAAAAAATATTGTTTCAAATGTTCACATAAGTGGCTTTACACATGCTTTCAAGCAGTGCATGGACATGGAAACAGATGAGACAAAGTTTGAGCATGGCTGGACGACAATGGTCGAAAAAATTGGACTTCAAACCAACAGTTGGGTGTTGGAGACATATGAGAAGCGTCATATGTGGGCTGAGGCATATATGCGTGGACATTTCTTTACTGGGATGAAGAGCACTCAGCACTTGGAGTGTATGAATGCTTATTTCAATCCCTTCCTCCAATACAAATTGAAGCTATATGAATTTGTTAGGCACTATGATCGGGCTCTTGCAAGGATAAGGTATAACGAGGCTGGAGATGATGCTGAAACAAATAACGCTTTTTCGATATTGATTACTCCATTGCGAGATATAGAGAGACATGGAGCTGAGCTATTCACCCGAAATATATTTAGAATGTTCTGTGATGAAATCTTATAAGAGAGGAAGTTGAATGTCAAGGACGTGTTCCCTTTGCCGGATAGTCAGAAATGCTACTATATTTATAAGTACAAACTGAAGGGCAGATCATGGATAGTAACACACAGTCCAGTGGATGCTGCAATGAGATGTTCTTGCATGAAGTTTGAGTCGTTGGGGCTACCTTGCTATCACATGATATGTGTTATGAAAGCCAAAAATTTAACGCAAATTCCCCCAACTTGTGTGCTGCATAGATGGACAAGGGCTGCAAGCAAGGATGGCCAGCAATGGCCTCAACCCTCAATTGATAGCACTACAACACAGACGGCCCGGTATGGGATATTGAGTTCTTCCTACAACGAAATGTGTTTATATGCCTCGCAATCAACGGAAGGTTTCAAAGAGGCTAGGGATGCATGTCTTCCGATAACGAACCAGATGAATGAGTTATATGAGAGGAATCTGAACGATGAGAATGGAGACAAAGGGAAACATTCATTCCCTCGACAATTTGGAGTAGAAGATCCTGATGTTGTGAAGACAAAAGGGAACCCGGGACGGGCCTCGTCCAACTGTCGAAGACCAAGAAAATGTGGGAATTACAAATGCATTGGGCACACAAAGTGAACATGTCCTAAGGTTCGGTTTAGCCGAACAGTGGGTACTAACTCAGATGCAAATACACCCCACATAACTGACCGTGAGTACAATGCGGAGTCATTGCCCGTTCGCTGCAAAACTGGGTTGGTAGATCCAAGTACACCGCACATTAAGCAGCGGTGACTATTTTTCGATGCTTCTCCTGATTCCAAGCAACCTGCGGGCCAATACGGTAGTGTTGAAGCAGCAGTGTGCAAAAATGATTCGACCACAATTGATGAGGTGAATCAGGTAATTGTATAATTTGTATGATTTACTTATTCCCTTAATTTATTAGGTAGACAGTACTAGCTATTGAAAACACATGGAAATAATGTATGTAGTTTTCATTTTGCACGGATTGCTGTACGTAACGTGTAAATCATTGGTTACGTACAATGCCAGGAAATGGCACAACGTTACCTATGTACCAGGCGACGAGTTGTAAATTTCCCATATTGTTTAGAGTGATGTTGTCATTTGTGTTTGTAGTGACTTGTCATTTTGAAAACTAATTGAAGGTGAGATATATATGGGTTATCTGTATTGTTTTGGGTGGGAAATTGGCTTATGTCCGTATTCCAAGATTCCTATTGCGGGTTGCTTGTTTGTGTTCCATATTTGGCTGGATCGAACTGAAGGGTTTTTTGCGGTGTGGTTTATCAACTAACGATGTGTTTGGCTTCGTATTGATTTGGTATGACTTGTTTCGGTAAATTAGTATTATATTTCGAGTAAAATACGAATTTTGTCCATGTGGGTTTGCAAAATTACATACCAGCACATGCATTTTGTATATAATCCAAGTGGCAGTTAATTTTGGGTGTTACTTGGAGAAAGTAACCCAACGAACTTGTTACTTTATCTCCATGCCGATTGTTATATGAATTACGAGTTACGAATAGGAGTTGTGAAATTATTTCATGTTAACTATGAAAGTATGGGTTTATTGTTAGTAAAATTATGATGGGTCTATATCGACAGCAACGAAGCAGTAATTTAAAGTTGACAAGTTGAAGAAGAAAATCAAGCAATTGTGGTATTGGTTTGAATGCCTGAAAAGGATGAAGACTTCTTTCGATGAACTGATGGTAACAAAGTAGAAAGTAACAAAGTAGAACGCACAAAGTAAGTTGTTGTGTTGTTGTGTTGTTGTGTTGTTTGTAACAAAGTAGAAAGTAGAAGGGAAAAAACTACTCAGAAGTTGCAATGTAGAAAGTAAGTTGTGTTGTTATTCATGTCCTCTCTCTCTGCAAACATTCTGCCCTTTATAGCTATTATTTCCCACGACCCCATGATCTGCCGATTCTGCAACTGCTTCTGTGCAACTTCTGTAACTGCATACATTTTCGTGTCTTCAAACCACATAAAACATTCACCTGTACCTGTCGAAGTGCATATAATTGAAGTTGCCACCTGTGCCCAAGTCCTTTTAGCCTTTCCTCCACAGATACAGACTCCCAATTCGTTCATGTTTCCTCTTGGAGGCTGGCCACTAAATCCATGAGCACTGTCAGTAACTGCTCCAGCGTGTAAGTCAGGTGGCATGCAAGATTCAATGTTAGTTGAATGGAGCAGCTGTTGGGAAGATGTGGGAAAAATAGGTGCAAAGAGGAATTTTTAATCTAATATCTAATAATAATATAGCTGAAAATATGAGTGAAATTTTTTTTAAAAAAAAGTAGTTTCGGTTTTTTTGATTACAAACCCGAGATGTATATTTTGTTTTTGATGTAAGTTGTGTATTTTCGTTACGTAAAATGTAGGACAACAATTGTGTTTAAGTCATTACAATACAGAAAAAGGTTATTTCAAACATAATTTCAAGTTTACCGACATTGAATATATTTTGATTAAATTACAGGGGAAATTAATATTTGGCAGAGTCTGATGATTCAAAGTCAGGGCAGTAACAGTGAGTGGCCAAGTGTTGTGGTTCAGTGGCCCAGTTTGCAAGGATTGTGGTTATGTTTAGTGGACAATATTCTGTCGATTTTTGTCTCATAATGATGAGGGACATGCCCCACAACGGTGAAAAGGAAGGTTGACAGGAAAGAGTCAATATTTGGTAGAGTGGACTTGAAAATTCGAAGTCAGGGGACAGTTACAGTGGCAATTATGGTGTAGATGTGTGGGATCATGCAATGATGGGCCACAAAAATAGTATACGGATATCGAAACGAACGATCTCCCTTCTAGGCTTTCCAAGTATACTAAACCTCCACTTCTATCTGTCGATCTCCCTTTTCTTGTGTTTATTTCATGGCCACCAACTGTTTTCAACTTCTGTCGATAGAGCAAGGCTCCTGCTTTGTCTCATGCTTCCTCCTAAAAGTGTGCCCACTAACTCATAATGATGAGGGACATGCCCCCACAATGGTGAAAA